CCCCTAGCATGCTGTACAATACCAGTACACCTCGGGTTATTGCGTTCAAATGGAGTAAAACAGTCGATCGCAATAATATGAGCAGAACCACCACTTAAATTACTTAATAACTACACCTGCCACTCCCCAACTGACCTGGAGACCAGCGGTGGCTGGGTGTCCCCGTGGGACATGCGAGGTCACCTGTCACACTCAGGTGACCTCCACTACCCACCAACCGCTAAGTTCCCAAAATCGCCAAATCTTATCACTAACATACATCACTACACACGCAAGTTCTGGAGAACATATCCTGAACTTCACAAAACTCACCAACTCACTAAAACACATCGCCAGAAAATCACTATCTCCTAACCTGAAAAAAACTCGCTAAATCGCGAAAGTAAAACACCTGTCAAGATCTCCCTGATAGCGCCTGAGCGGCAAAGGACACGTGGGACTGAACAATGTTAAATGAACACTACCATACACATTGTTCAACACCGCTGCCAACATTGTAACGGGGGGTGGGGGAAATAGCTCTATCTTGTCCATTATTCCACCCCCCAGTTAACTAACGAGGCCGGGGGAAACAGCTCTCTCTAGTCCGTTATCCCGTCCCCAGTTAGCTAACTATTCCAGAGCACTCCCAGAGTTCCTAAGGCAACCTCTCTCGTTCAACACCTTGTAACCTAGGTATTTGACTACCTAGGTGCTAAGACTACAAGGCGCCGTCACGTGATCAGTTACCCGAAACTCTAGAGAGAACTCTAGAATACATTTCTCTGCCACAAACGTATAAGAGAAAACGAAAGGGAAGAAATGAATAGTGAAGTAATTAGTGAGGGTTTGGGGTGAGAGGTAGGGAGGTGGGAGGAGCGAGGAGGGTCATTAGTTGAAAGTGAGAGTTTAGAGAGGGGTGGAGGGAGAGACGTAGATAGGTAGAAGTAGAAGAGTAGATAGAAGTAGAAAAGTAGATAGAAGTAGACGAAATGCTGCCACCATCCATTCTAGATCATCACATACAAGACAAGGAATGGAACTTGTCTGTATCACAAAATTCTCAAAAGATGTTATTACCATGTATCAACTCCAAACATAGGGGACACAGTTAAAGGCAATTTAAATAATATATTCAATTATATTTCACATACTAAGTATCATAATTTAAGCAATGTTCAAGATCAATATATGTAACGTGAGTCATCCTCCAAGAATCTGAGAACACTACAACTGACTGCCCCTGATCATCACACAACACTTGTAAAACACGACCAAGTCACCTTAATGTTCAACTCACCAAGTGTGTGCCTATAGTTGGATAGAGGGGGGGTCTATAGTTGACAGAGACTGTCTCGCCCTGCCGGCCGACAGCCCCCCCTGCTTGGGCCGTCTTCTCTGCTCTCCTGACTGCTGTTGTTCTCTTAATGCTAAATGCTCTCGAATCGATAGCTCTCCGAGTATATATTGGGGGAACCTAGTAGCTAACTCCGCCCACAAGTAGATAGCCTGAGGCACTCTACCAAGCCACTCCTTAAACGTCGGCATGTTTGAAGGCTACCAGGCTCCAATTATCAGATTAGTAGAAGTAAGGTGAAATTCGCATGATCTGACCTCAGGTCACTTGAGGTCATTAACGCTTTGAGGTGTGAGATCTCAGGCCGACAACCTGGCGCCTTTCTCAAATCCTTGTCTGTGACTCATGTACTATATATATTTTAAATAAACTAAACCAAACACTTTTACAGTGTTACACAGCAGAGGCAGGTCCCGAAGAGCCTGTGGAAGATGGCCTCAAGCCCCAAGGGCAGTACTTACAGGGCACCTAGGAAAGGCAGCCCTAGGCGCATGCAGCCCGAGTACTGAAGATAACTCCTGGCTCTCACACCCACAGAAAACAAACACTACACACGAAGCACAGTGCTGTAGTGACACTAGAGTCAGAGCACACGACCTTCGCCTAGAGTATCAGCTTCAAGAACTGAGGTGTGGTTAGCCGGCGTGAAGGGTCTGGGGCTCCCCGCTCCCCCTTCCTCCTCCCGGGGAGGGGGGAGCTGCGCAGACAGCAGTGCGGCGACGTGTGACTTCATACTAGTTTGCTCGTTTTCTGTTGGGGAGTTCTATCCACTAGTTCGGCTTTTGGTAGCAATGTTAACCAGAATAGGGGTTTGTTTTGGGACACTTACCTTACTGGGTGCCTGATCCGATCGATGGCAGACATAGAATGCTTCCAACCACACAGGGGTTTCTATAGGTCATTGCTCCCCTTGCCTCTCTGAGGGGTCCCGGTTCTGGCCGTGGTCCCCAGTAGGCCTAAGAACTCCATACACATGACTGATACCAAAGTCTGACATTAGCATATCAGCCTGGGATAGCTCCGGGGAGCCGATGGGGCTCCCCCAGAAAAATCATTTCTTAACATATTGGGATGAAAATTTCATGACACTCATGACAAATAACGGGAGATTTGTTTTAAATTTTTCACTATTTTTCATATTTTGCAAAATACTCAAAGTCACTGGGCCCCTTAAAATAAACATCACAAGACGAAGGGGGAACTGAAAACCAAGGCGAGGGGAGAAAACCCAAAACCTGGCAAGTGACCAGAATGACTCAGGAATATGAGTAGGCTAGAGGTGAAAAATGCACGAGACAACTTGTGAAGCAGCCATAGAGGTGTCAACATCGAATGCAAGCAACAACAGCTTTACCAATCTAAAAGGATAAGAGGCAACAGCATTAGGCATGAGATGCCGACTGAGAAACAATCGAGACAAAAAGATTGAAACCGAAGATAATGAACAGACTAGTAGTAAAATGAGTACCATGCAACATTGTACTGCCACTGCCAGGAAAGACACAGATGGGACACACACAGCAGCCACCCGCTCTCAATTAAATTGAATTCAATTGTTAATAGACACTTAGTAAAACTTCTAGATACAAAGTGCGGAGGAGAAGTTCGAACCAGCGAACAACACTGCCAAGCTGATCCGCTGGAAGAGGCATCCTCTCCAGGAAAATGCCAAGTTCAGATACCTGGTCAGCAGTGCTGGAAACCAAGGATGAGCCAGCCACCACGGAGCCAGAAGGATCACCCTCCCCGAGTATGACTATACTGGACAGCAACAACTGAAGAAACAACTCACCCCAGGAAAAAAGGTACAGGCACCTCCACCTCAACTAGTCCAGTTAAAACCATCACCTAGGAGAGCTTTGCTTCAGGGAATACATACACATGGGAAGGAAGCCAATGGACAGAGGCGACAGTCCACTCAATGGAAATTAGACAGAGGCGAGGTAGTGGGGGTGGAGCAGGTGGTTGTTGTTGGGGGGGGGGGGTGGAGCAGGTGGTTGTAGTGGTGGAGGTGAAGCATGAGGAGCAGGTGATGATGCAGCATAAGGAGCAGATGGTGGTGGTGGTGGAGCATGAGGAGTAGGTGGTGGTGGTGGAGGAGCAGGTGGAGGTGGTAGTGGAGGATGAGGAGCAGGTGGTGGTGGTAGTGGAGGATGAGGAGCAGGTGGTGGTGGTAGTGGAGGATGAGGAGCAGGTGGTGGTGGTGGATGAGGAGCAGGTGGTGGAGGATGAGGAGCAGGTGGTGGTGGTGGTGGAGGATGAGGAGCAGGTGGTGGTGGTGGTGGAGGATGAGGAGCAGGTGGTGGTGGTAGTGGAGGATGAGGAGCAGGTAGTGGTGGTGGAGGATGAGGAGAAGGTGGTGGTGGTGGAGGATGAGGAGAAGGTGGTGGTGGTGGAGGATGAGAAGGTGGTGGTGGTGGAGGATGAGGAGAAGGTGGTGGTGGTGGAGGATGAGGAGAAGGTGGTGGTGGTGGTGGAGGATGAGGAGAAGGTGGTGGTGGTGGAGGATGAGGAGAAGGTGGTGGTGGTGGAGGATGAGGAGCAGGTGGTGGTGGTGGTGGAGGATGAGGAGCAAGTGGTTGATCAGTCCGGCAACCAGGAGGCCTGGTCGACGACCGGGCCGCGGGGACGCTAAGCCCTGGAAGCACCTCAAGGTAACCTCAAGGTAGGTAAGATCAAGGTGGTGGTGATGGAGGATGAGGAGCAGGTGGTGGTTGTGATAGAGGATGAGGAGCAGGTGTTGGTTGTGATGGAGGATGAGGAGCAGGTGGTGGTGGTGGTGGAGGATGAGGAGCAGGTGGTGGTGGTGGAGGAGCAGGTGGTGGTGGTGGAGGATGAGGAGCAGGTGGTGGTGGAGGATGAGGAGCAGGTGGTGGTGGAGGATGAGGAGCAGGTGGTGGTGGAGGATGAGGAGCAGGTGGTGGTGGAGGATGAGGAGCAGGTGGTGGTGGTGGTGGTGGAGGATGAGGAGCAGGTGGTGGTGGTGGAGGATGAGGAGCAGGTGGTGGTGGTGGAGGATGAGGAGCAGGTGGTGGTGGTGGTGGAGGATGAGGAGCAGGTGGTGGTGGTGATGGAGGATGAGGAGCAGGTGGTGGTGGTGATGGAGGATGAGGAGCAGGTGGTGGTGGTGAAGGATGAAAAACAGGTGGTGGTGGTAGTAAAGGATGAGGAGCAGGTGGTGGTGGTGGAGGATGAGAAGTAGGTGGTAATGGTGGAGGATGAGGAGCAGGTGATGGTGGTGAAGGATGAAGAGCAGGTGGTGGTGGTGAAGGATGAAGAGCCGGTGGTGGTGGTGAAGGATGAAGAGCCGGTGGTGGTGGTGAAGGATGAAGAGCCGGTGGTGGAGGATGAAGAGCCGGTGGTGGTGGTGAAGGAGCAGGTGGTGGTGGTGGAGGATGAGGTGGTGGTGGTGGAGGATGAGGAGAAGGTGGTGGTGGAGGATGAGGAGCAGGTGGTGGTGGTGGTGGTGGTGGA